CTTTTACAAAAATGAACTCAAGATGGATTAAGGACTTAAATCTAAGACCTGAAACTGTAAAAATTCTAGAAGATAACATTAGATAAAACCTTCTAGACATTGGGTTAGGCAAAGATTTCATGACCAAGAACCCAAAAGCAAACGCAATAAAAACAAAGATAAATTGCTGGGACTTAGTTAAACTAAAGAGCTTTTGTACGGCAAAAGGAACAGTCAGCAGAGTAAACACACAACCCACAAAGTGGGAAAAAATTTTTTACAATATCAATCTATACATCTGACATACATCTGACAAAGGACTAACATCCAGAATCTACAACGAATTCAAAGAAATAAAAGTCATTTTATGAAAAAGATACTTGCACATGCATGTTTATAGCAGCATCATTTGGAATTGCAAAAACGTGGAACCAACCCAAATGCCCATCAATCAACGAGTGGATAAAAAACTGAGGTATATGTATCTCAGCCATAAAAAGTGATGAATTAATAGCATTTGCAGTAACCTGGATGAGATTGGAGACTATTATTCTAAGTGAAGTAACTCAAGAATGGAAAAACCAAATATCGTATGTTCTCACTCAAAAGTGGGAGCTACACTATGAGGATGCAAAGACATAAGAATGACACAATGGACTTTGGAGACTCAGGAGGAAAGGGTGGGGGATAGAAGACTACAGATAGGGTGCAGTGCATACTGCTCGGGTGATGGGTGCACCAAAATCTCACAAATCACCACTAAGGAACTTACTCATGTAACCAAACACCACCTGTTCCCCAATAATTTATGAAAATAAAAAAAATTTTTTAAGGAAAAAAGTTTTAACGGAATGAAAGCACAGTATATGAAAAGTTGTGAGGTGTAACTAAAACAGTGCTTAGAAGGAAATGTATAGCAATATACACCTAATTAGAAATAAGAAAGATCTCAAATCAATAATCTAAGCTTTTATCTTAAGAAAGTATAACAAAGAACAAATTAAACCTAACATAAGCAGATAGCAGAAAATAAAAATAGGAGCAGAAAGCAATAATGCTGAAAACAGAAAAACAATACAGATAGGCAACAAAACAAAAAGCAGTTTGCTTAAAATAAACAAATTTGATAAGCCTTTATCCAGATCAAGAAAAAAACAAAGAAGAGTGAAGACTCAAATACCAGCATAAGGAATGAAAAAGGGAACATTGCTATAAATCATTCAGACTTTAAAAGGCTAAGAGAGAATATTACGAACAACTTTATGTCCATAAATTCAACCAGTTGGGTTATAAGACTAGTTTCTTAAAAAGTATATTCAAGAAGCCATGGATAATCTCAATCATTTGTATCTTATTTTAAAAATTTAAATTTTAGGTAAAAACCTTTCTATAAGGAAAATTCAAGGCCACGATGGCATCACTGAGAAGATTTAGGAAAAAATAACACCAATTCTACACAAACTTTTTCAGAATACGGAAAAAGAGCAACTGCTTCCCAACTCATTTTGTACTAGCATTATGCTGATACCAAAACCAGAGATATTGCATGACAAGAAAATTACAAACCAGCATTCCTCATGAACATAAATGCAAAATTCATCAACTGAATATTTAAAAAATTGAACCCAGCAATATATGAAAAGGACAATACATTAGGATCTTACCCTGGGAATGCAAGACTAGTTTAACATTTTAAAAATCAGTCAGTATAATTTACCATATATGCAAACTAAAGAAGAAAAATGAGGGCATCTCATCTGATAAAATTTAGAGTCCATTCATAATAAAACAAAAACAAACAAAACTCTCAGTAAGCTAGAAATAGAAAGGACCACTCTCAAACTGATAAAGGGAATCCACAAAAACCCTATATCTAACATCATATTTAACAGTGGGTGACTGAATAATTTCCCCTAAAATGGAAAGCAAGGTAAGGATGTCTATTCTCACTACTTGTATTCAAAATTGTCTTGGAAGACCTAGACAGTGAAATAAGTCAAGAAAAATAAATAAAAGGTATACAGGTTAGAAAGAAAAAAAAAGTCTCTATTTTGCAGACATCATAACAATCTATATAGAAAATTCTAAAGAATCTATTTTTAAAAGCTACTAGAATTAGTAAATGAGGTTAGCAAGGATACAGGATACAAAAATCAGTTTATCAAAGCAATTGTATTTCTATATACTAGCAACAAACGTTTTTCAATTAAAAATAAGTATCATTTCAAAGAAAGAATCATTTACAATAGCATCTAAAAATATTAAATACTTAGGTTGAAATATTTTTAAAATGTGCAAGATCTGTATTCTGAACACTACAAACTTGGATGAAAGAAATCAAAGATCTGAATAAATGGAGATATATATTATGTTTACAGAAGCTTATATTTTTAAGATGTCAATTATCCCCAAACCAGTCTATTGATTCAATCAACCCAAAAATTTTCAGCAAGATTTTTTGTAGACATCAATAGGTGATTCTAAAACATATATAGAAACTAGCATAGCCAAACTAGTTAAAAACACATAAAATTGGGGGACCCATGTTATCTTACTTCAAGGCTTATTATAAAGCACAATAATCAAGATAATCTTATATTGGTTAAAAGATAAACATCTAAACCAACTGGTCAGAGTAGAGAGTCCACAAATCTAACCACATATATACCATTCATTGATTTTGGACATAAGTTCAAAGGCAATTCAATGAAGAAAGGATAGACTTTCAAAGAATGGTGCTGAAAGAACTGGATATCGATATACCAAAAACAAACAAACAAGAAGAACATGAACTCATACTTCTACAAAACATGTAAGAGAAAAATTTTGTTACCCTGAGTTAAGCAATGAGTTCTTAGATATAAAACCAAAACCACAATCTAATAGATAACTTGGGCTTCACCAAAATTAAAAATGTCTGCTCTTTAGAAGACAGCGTTAAGAAAATTAAACAAACAAACAAACAAACAAAAAAACACAGACTGGGAGAAAATATTTGCAAAGTCCGTATCTGACAATAACAAATGGCTGATATGCAGAATACAGTTAACCCTTGAACAATATGGGTTTGAATTGTGTGAATCCACTTACATGCAGATTTTTTTTCAATCAAATGCTGAAAATACAGTATTCACAGTATTCATGGGATACAAAAACTATGAAAATGGAAGGCAAACTTTTCCGTCAGGCAAGTTCCCCAGGGCAAACTGCAGGAACTGAGTAAACTCTGATTTGGTAATAAACGGGGGCCCTGGAACCACTCCCCTGCAGATACTGAGACTGTATATAGAACTCTCGAAACTCAGAATAAGAAAACAACTACACAAAAAATGGCCAAAAATTTTAACAAATATATCATCAAAGAAGCTATCTGAATGGCAAATAAGCAAGTGGAAAGGTGTTCAATATCTTTCATCATTATGGAAATACAAAGTAAAGCTACAATAAAATACAACTATACACCTAGTAGAATGGTTAAAAGAAAAGAAAATCTCACAATACCAAATGGATGTGGAACAACTGGAGCTATAATACATCACTGCTGGGAATAAGATGTACAGCTATTTTGGAAAACAGTTTGGCATTTTCTTACAACATTAAACATATGCTTACTAGACAACCAAACAATCTCACTCTTGGGTATCTGCCAAAGAGAAATGAAAACCTATGGTCACACAAAAATCTGTCTCTTAGTTTCTTTTCTGTTGCTATACTGGAATAACTGGGACTGGGTAATTTACTAAAAAAACAAAATTTATTTCTTACAATTCTAGAGGCTAAGTTGAGGGGCCAACTTGTGGTCCAAGGTTGAGGGGCCACATCTGGTGAGGGCCTTCTTGCTGGTGGGGACTCTCTGTAGAGTCCCAAGGTGACACAGGGCATCACATGGCCAGGGGGCTGAACGTGGTAGTTCAGGTCTCTCTCCCTCTTCTTATAAAGCCACCAGTCTCACTCCCATGATAACCCTTTAATCCATTAACAAATGAATGGACTAATCCATTCCAGAGGGCAGAGCCTTCATGACCCAATGACCTATCACAGACTCCACCTCCCAATCCTGCTACATTGCGGATTAAATTTCAACATGAGTTTTGGAGGGGATGAAAATTCAGATCATAGCAACCTGCATTTGAATGTTTACAGCAACTTTATTCATAATCACAAAAATGCAAATATCCCAAATGTCCTTTGACTAGTTAATGATAAATAAAGTGTGGTACATTCATATGTTGTAATACCACTCAGCAATAAAAAAGGAACATGCTATGGCTGTGCACAACATGCATATATCCACAATGAATCATGCTAAGTGAAAGAAGCCATATTTGAAAGGCTACATACTGTATTATTCTATTTATATGACATTCTAGAAAAGGCAAAACTATAGAGACAGAAATCAGATCAGTGGCTGCCAGGGAATGGGGCTGAGGGGTCAGACTTGATGATGAAGAGGCATGAGGGAACTTTTTGGAAAGATGGAAGTGTTTTACATCTTGATTGTAGGGAGAGTTACATGAACATCTATATTTGTTAAAACTGAGAGTACTGTACACTAGAAAGGGTGAATTTCACTGTATATAAATCATATCCCAATAAAATGTCAGTCTGAACAAAAATCTAAAATCTAAAATGTTTATAGTAAGCAGCGGGTCAAAATAGTAAAAAGTGAAAATAAATTAGTCCCCCATTTCCCCACGTGACCTGATATTCACAGCTCATAAGACCGTGCGCTGTCTTCCGGGTGGGAAAATGTTTGGGATCCCAAGAACTCAGGTCAGACCCATCTCTGCAAAGCAGGTGGTGGACAGCTTCTCAGGGGTGGGGCCAGTTTCTGCTGTGTGACCCTGTTCCTCTCACTCCTGCCTGCAGGCTGCCTTCAGACTGATGCCCTGTGGGCGCTGAGCTCCCGCTGCACCTGCTCCCAAAGATTCTCCTGATGTCATGCGGCTGAGCCTTTGTAAGCAGGGATTCATAGCAGCCTCCCGACGCTCATGGTAAGGTAGGTGCTTGTGGTAGGTGCCGCAGCCTTCGCCAGCCCCCAACTTTAGAGTGAAGCTCCAGTTGACCCTCAAAGTTCCTTGAAGCAAACCTCTGTGTAAGTGAAAGGGTCCCAGAGCCACCACAGTGGGGGCAGGGTGTCTTGGTGGCAGCTTAAACTGTTTTGCAGCCTGTGCTTTTAGGGACCCAGGCCAGGAGTTAAGACTCCTGCTGTTAACAGTCACTTTATCCTCTCCGCCCACTCCACAGAGCCTGGCAGGAAGGCAGTCCAGAGCCGCGGGTCAACAGATGTACACGGGCTGCTGAGTGGAGACCCACCAGGGAGGACTAAGGCGGTGGAAAAGGCCACTCTGCCTAGACTTTGAATTCCTCAGGTCCTTGGGGCTAAACATAACACTGCTTCCTCAGTGGAGCCCCTCTTCCCTTGCATTTATAAACCTTAACTCATGCATTGATGCCATTTAACTGCCAGGTAGCTAGCTAGAACTGAAAATGTAACCTTTAATTTGAAGGCCTATACTTGAAGAAATTGCTTGTCTGCAGTGCTGAGGTTCTGGGAAGGTAGCAATGAGAAGGAGGGATTGAAAGAAGGGAGAGTCACAGCTGAAAAACAGAATCCGGTGCCTCTGTGCTCTGTAATGTCTCATCTTTCCTTTCCAGAAGCCCCCAAGCTCTGACTTAGCTAAAATTATTTTGGTTCATTCGGCCACGCCTCAAGATGTTCGGCCAGGACACTTTGATTGGACTGAAGGGAAATGGGTTATTTAAGTGGCCCGAACTTCAGAACAAGATGTGTGTTTATACCTATTCTGTTGCTCCATTTCGGCTCCAAAAGATGATAGAGAGAAAAGACTTCCTGGGCTCTCTATAGCGGAAACCTGTTGGCAAGGCGAAGACCACCTGGCCCCCGGCCAAGCCCAGCAGAGATGCTGCTTGAGAGAGACAAGTCAGTGAGCATTTGTGCAGGCTCTGGTACCTGGAACAAAAATACGCCGAGCCGCAAATTATGGCTTTCAGATGTCACCACTGCCATCTGACATTGTGTTTCAGCTGTTCACGTCTTCATTACTGTGCTGCAGCCTCCCATTAAGGCTGTTACTGTGTGTGAGACAGATTTATGTTATGTGGTTTTCTGTACACCCCAAGCAACAATGCTCACCAAGGGTTATCAGGCTGATTGCCAAAACCCTATGGTGGAGATGCTCTGAGTCTATAGGTTGCTTTGTGGGCGTCCCTGTGTGCATGTGTGTGTGTGTATGTGTGTGTGTACATCCCTCCTCCATGCCCCATCTTGTAACAGCTGAAAGGAATCAGCCTCCACACTACAGGAACTTGTTCTTTGTGTGGTTTTCTCATCTCCCTTTGCTCCCTTACGGCCCCCCCTCCTGGCCCATCTGCCAGATCCTTCCTCCCCCTCTCTCTTGCTCCTCTTTGAGGTGGTAACCAGACCAACACAGCAATGCCCTTGTGACTCCCTTTTCAGTTTCTCAGCCTCACTCAGATTAATGGAACAGAAACATGTGCTTGCATCTGATGCCAGTAATCATATCCTGAGTGACCACAGAGAGAGAGATTAAGCAAAGGTACTGGCCCGGTCCCGGGGGATACGGTTACAGGAAGAAAGTGTTTCTTGACAGCAGCCGCTCTGGCTCCCTCTCGCTTGCCCTCCTTCATTCCTAGCTAGGCTCATTAAGTCCCTTGAATATTTTCCATAAGATTAGTTAAAATCTACCCAGCAATGGTCCAAGTCACTTAAGAACTGGGTTTTGATCTACATTCTGATCTTATCCATAGATGTGAACAGAGCATATTTCCATATTCTTTACTTTGATTTAGTCCCTGTGATTATATATTTTGGATGTGTGTTTTCAAATAGTGAAAGGTAAACAAGTGTATGGTTATCTAGTCTGATGACTTAAGTCAACAAGTATCAACTGTAAGCAAATGACTCCTTTAGTAGGACAACATCCTTGGGCCAGGGGCAAGGCAATGAGGCACATACTCAAATACTGTGACATGAGATTAAGTGTGATGAGTGTGCAGGGATAAACTGAGTGAAGCCAGGGAGAACAGGGAAGGAAAAGCACTCTTGGCTGGGGAAACCCTGGGAGGCATCCTGGAAGAAGTGGTATTTGAGATGACCCTAAAGGGAAAGGTAAGATTTTGGTAGATGTAAATAAAAAGAAAAGGCATTACCTGAGAAAGGTCCAGCTTGAGCAACAGCCTGGAGTTGGGAAGACAGAGTGTTTCGAGATGAGTGGGAATTTGAGGTAAACTGCAGAAATGTGTACCTATAGGGAAAGTGATGGAAAGTGGACTGAGAGAGCCTTGAACTATGATGAGTGTAAAGCCAGGTTTAGGACTTATTATCAGCAGTGGGAGCCATTGTAGGTCTTAGAGCAGGGAGACACAACATAGTGCTTTCCTGATGGAACTTGAAGAGTGTCCTCAAAGAAGCACAGAAAATAGATTGTGGGGAAAGGGGTGTGGGAGGAGGAGAGAGTAGAGATGGATCCTCCCTTAGGAGGTTACAGCAATGGTCTGAAAAAGAGTAGAATATAAGCACTTGATGGGAATACAAACATCGTGATATAGGAGAGATATGGAAAAGACAGAACTTGCAATTGGTTGGATCTAGGAGGTAAGGCCACTGGGTAAGCCAGAGATGACGCTGAGATTTGGAGACTGAATACTGGAGTGGCGGGCTCTTAGGAGAGGAGGATAGAAGGGAGGACAGAACTGGAGCAGAAAATGACCCATTCCGTTTGGGATATTTAGACATTCAGAAGAGGCACCCGAGACCTGATGCCCGACAGGGGTTGGAGCTCAGAGCTGGTGCTGACAAGAGAGGCTGGAAGTGAGGATCATCTGCACGGAGGTGTCAGGTGAGGCCCAGGGTAGGTGAGATAACGAAGGAGGCAGCACAGAGGGAGGGATGCTACGCTCAGATCCTTGGGGAGGCACACACATTAAAAAGTGAAAACAACGGGAGTTTCCTGCCACGGAAACCCAGAGGGGAGAGATTTCCTGTGGAATGCTGAACCAGCTGAGGATGAGGACTGGGGCAAGGCTGCCGGATTTGTGGCTGAGGAGGAGGTCCTCGGAGTCCTTCCTGGGGCTCCATCAGGAGCGAGGTGGGGCGGAAGCCGGATTAGAAGCCCCGAAGAGCGAGTGGGTGATGAGGAAGTGTAGGCAGCAAGTGTGTTTCCTGAAGAGCTTTTAAAAATAGGACAGAGGCCCCTCATTTGTGCATAGTTTGAGGGCCTCCTGCCAGGGAAATCCAGGAGACTACGGAGGCTGTGAGGGGCCAAAAGCCACCATCTCTCGTGGTGTTTGTAAGATTCCTCCCAAGCCAGCAACCCTGATACGTTGGTTTCCTCATGGTAGCAGGTGAGAAAGTGGTTGTATTTGTTGTCAGCAGGTACTTGTTAATGTCACAAACCAGACCTCTCCTTCAACGAGGTCCAGAGCAGATTGCCCCGAGGAACGAGCACTGACTTGGAGTTTTCTAGACTGTTCTGCATCTGGTTTTAGGGGCCACCATAAAGGAGTGACTGTGGAGGAATCACTGCTTTTCCAGGATATTGGCAGGACTTGCACGAAGGATAAACAGAGAGGCATGTCAGCTTCCAGGGTCTCTTTTCTGTTTCTCAGAAAAAAAAAGAGTCTAACCTTTTGAAGACAGACTTGAAGTTAATTGCTCGTTCCTCAGGAGTGCCTGCCAAAGAGAAAATGAACCCGGTAAGTGATGTGTCAGTGCCCTAGAAAGTCAGTTGATTATCCTGGTTTAGGGACAGCAGGGACTCAACTGCCTCCCATGGAAACGCTCTCCTCTCCCTCACTTCTCACAGGTGACCCTGACGACCCACCACCCCAGCTGTTCTCCATCACCTGACGGTTGAGCCTTCAAGATGCTGGCGAGTTCTGCCTGTGCATGGCTTTGACCAGCTCCAGCCAGAAAGAGGAACTTTCAGAGTCCAGGTTTGGGGCCTGTGGATGAGTTACCTGTTACCAAGAAAGGTTACTGAGTCTCCATCACTCATTTGGGAATGAGGCCACTTCCTACTGACAGATCCTGTAGCTATTTATGGAGAGTTTTGGCCTTTCAGCATCCAATCCCTCTTTCAATCAGGAGGAGTTCTCCACTGCATATTATCTCAGAGGGTCCCAATGTACCACCTCCTGCTGTGGATGCCAAAGCTGGTGTGGGGGAAGCAGGAGGTGAGAATGCAACTCAGGATCAGTCAACCACATGGGACCCTGAATCTTGCAGGAGAGGCAGAAAGAGGCAGATGTGGTTTATAAATTATTGGCAGTTATTGAAAGTCTAGAGGTGCAGCATCGAGTGTCCAGCATGGTGACATCTCACTCCAGTGTTCTAATTACTTTCTCCTGTAGCGAACTGGGCTCTGGTTCCAGCTCCCTGGCCTCCCTTGCTTTCTGTGTATTTCCTGGGCCTGGCCTGGCCTTCCGGTCTTTCTGCCTTGCAGTGAATTTTCCTTTCACCAAGTTAGTGAGACTGAGTTTCTGTTGCTTGCTGCCAAGAACCTTAACAATGTAGAACAGCGAAGAGATGTGCTGTCAAGGCCTGAGCAACAGGTTCAACTGGACCCAAGACACGAACACTGTATGAAAGTTACCCTCCTGCAAGTGACTCAGAATGTCAATCCTCCAGTGAGAGAGACAGAGAATAAATAAATGTCTATACATAAATACACACACTCACACGCGCACACATATGTCAGGTGGTGACAAGAGAAGAGTAAAGTACAATGAAGGAGTAGAGAGTGAGTGGGCAGTATTTTAGATGGGGTGGTGAGGGAAGACTGTTTGGAGGAGGGGGTGGTGAGCAGCGGCCTGAATGGAGTGAAGGAGCAGCCAAGTCGGGTACTCAGAAGAGCCTTCCAGGCAAAGGGAGCCCCAAGAGGAAAAGGTGGCCGAGGCAAAAAAAAAAAAAAGTGTCACTTTCTGTTGGTCCTCTCTGCTGGCCATGGCTTCCTGGAGCAGAGACCTCTGCTGTTTTTTAATACACCCAGCCTAGGCAACTTTCTGTCGTTGTAATTCGTTGGCATGTGAATCTGCCTTGGACGCGAGGTACAGTTTTACACGATCTCTTTGCAGGCCTGTCGCCGATTTGCCTACAGTGGAGCATAGGATGGAAGGGAACTCGTCAGGAGTAGTTTATCCAGACATGGGACCTTGGGTGAGACAGGATAGGTTACCTTAGGGTTTGTCCCCTGAAACTCCAATATGGATTCCTATGTTAGTTGTCAGGAGGGGTTATATGTATTTATGGTTTGTTAAAGGTTTAGACCAAGGGCCAGGCCATTTATTTTCTTAGAGTTGGCTATTATTATTACTATCTTACCAATCAATAATAAACGTGGGTAAATCGTATACATATATCTATGGCCCAATTTGACTTGGTCCGTGTTATTGTCTTTGTTTGAATTTATAACGCAGTGATTCAAAGTATTCATGTTATTTATCCTGCTAAGGACAAATACAGGCAGGTTCATTTCCACAATTGACTGTTTGCCTTAGCTTATTTCTGCTGGACTAGATTCCAACCTTTTTCTTGTTTCACAGCAAAAGCAAGGTGTGTCTCTGGGCCCCCTTGGCACTTGGTTATTCCCCTGAGAAGAGAAATAGGAATCGATTGAGGAATGCCCAGTATGAGCTTTCCTCGAATGGGGAATCCTGTCCCTACCACTGGTCCCTCACCTCATCATGGCCTGTGGGAAGTTTGGGTGACTTAGGTTCTCAAGATGGGGGCTGGTTTATGGGAAAGGGGCTCCACAGCTCAACCCAGGTCTAGATTGACCTCCTCCTCTCCCCCATCATTCTTCTTTCCGTTTACTTCCCTTCTCCTTCCCTTCTCTCTCTCTGCTTCCTCTTCCTCTCTGATTCGAAGCCTGCCTTCTCTTTTTGGTGACCACTTGTCCCTGGGCTTCTCATTTGTCCCAAGGATTCCGCCCTGACTTCTTTTCTGGGCCTGGAATAATTCCCCAAAGGAACCCCATGAAGAATTATATGGACCATTTCCTTTGTATGTTTACGTTACAGTTTGGACCTTAGGTAAGTGAGGGTCAATGAAGCAAACTCACCCAGCAGCTCCTACTTCCCTTGTGTCAGGACGACTCCGCTGGCTTGGAGTGAACTGACTTTGTGAGCGTTCTTTTCAGTCTTAAAAACAGGCAGTTTTCGCTGCTGGGAGGTGTGACCTTTCACCACAGGTTCTGGGATCAGGCTGTGTTCGCCCCAGCATTTTTATTTGATGCAGGGGCAGGCCATCAACAGTTTCTCTGGGTTGAACATGATTGGGTGGACGTCTAGTAGTGTGTTGGCTTTCAGGGCTTTGTAAATGTGGGTATAATAACATTTCGGAGAACTATTGGTTGATATTAATAGAGGAAAAGCCTTAAAAAATGTAGATTCCCCTGACCCAGTAATGCCACCCCTAAGAATTTATCCTGAGAAAATAATCAGAGATGCAGCCAAAAATATATGTATAAGAATATTTATTGTAGTGCTAGTTATAATGGTAAAAAAAAAAAAAAATGAGAAACACTCCACAAGGACTGGGTTAAATAATTTATGGTACTTTTCTGTAAAGGAATACTAGGCAGTCCCTTTTGTAAGGTGTACTTAAAGCATATTGGATGATGTGCGTGATGGACATTCTCCTTTTGCCTTCCAGATTCATCCTGCACCACTCAGGCTCCCTGCCCTCTGAACTCCTTCTGGGTATGTCCAGTGGGAAGTGCACCCTGAGGAGCGGGACGGCAGGATGGTCGTATAAGATTCTTCATGGGGCTACTTTGGGGAATTATTATTCCAGCCAGAGAAGGTCAGGGCAGGACTGGGGCAAAAATGAGAAGCCAGGACAAGTTGGGGCACCAGGATGAGAGAAGGAGGCCTCAAAGTCAGAAGAGGAAGAGGAGGAGCAGGAGGAGCAGGAGAAGAGAGTGAGGAAATAGGAGGAGAGGAGAATAATGGGGTGGAGGAGGAGAAGGGTAAATCTAGAGCTGAGGGTGAGGGTCTGTGAATCCCCCTTCCCATAAACACAGCCCCCATCTGAGACCCCAGGGTTTCATTCCTGGGCTTCTCTACTCAAGGCCATCAATTTGGCCAGGTGGCATCCTCCTCCACTTATCCTCCCTACCTACTTCCTTCCTGTTCCAGTAACTTCTCCCTCCCCTTGACTCTTCAGGATTAGGGTGGGAACAGCTTCATAGTGTGCGTACTCCAGTTTTATTTCAGCATCCCTTTTGGTCGTCTAATCTAGCCTCAGTAGTTTAAAGGGAAACTTGTATCCTGCTAGGACCCTAACTGATGCAACGCAAAAAAAACAAAAAAAACAAAAAAAACAAAAAAAACTGTATATGTATATATAGTTCAAATATATATATATATATATAGAGAGAGAGAGAGAGAGAGTGGTCAAATTGGGTTAGAAAACAGTACAATCCCAACTCTATAATAAATCAATATATTCAGAAAGAAAAAATATATGTATATATGTGCATATATCTACACATAGGAGAAAAAAGACTGGAAGGAAATAGACTGGATGATTAGCTGTCATTGCCTCTGGGCTGTGAGATTGTAGGTGATTTTTCTTGTCTACTTTATACAATTCTGTAATTTTCACATCCTTGAAAACAATTATGTGTCACCTTTAAAGTGAAAAAAAAATTAAATAAATGTATACTTTAAAATAAAACTGAAGTAAAATAGAAGAGTTAGCTACACAGTAACAACATCATGGCACATCAGTCACCCACAAGTAGCACTGCAAATAATCAATTTTAAGTAAATTATTTGGCAAATTTCATGTTATCACATAATTTAGAAGGAAATATAAACATTTTAGAAGGAATTATAACTAGGCCTTGACTATTATCAGCCACATCTTATCTAATGTTTCTTAAACCTTGGTAGTGCTTAATATAACCGCTTGCTGGGACTGGAATCCCTCACAAGCTGCACTTGTCCCAGCTCTGGCTTTGATTCTGAGTCCAGTTGTGCTCAGGATGGGATGGGGACAGGGGACAGGGGAGCCTAGGATCAAGCTGACAGATTAGACCAATGTTTTGGCACCCTCCAAAGCATATCCTTAAATATGGTTCCACATTCATTTAGTGGGGATAGAGGAAAATCTGACTTTCCATTAGTAGAAGTCGTGTGCCTCTCTGCTCAAAGTGAGGGATGTATACAAACGTCAAACGCAGCATAACATTTTGACTTACTTGAAATGGTCTTTCCTTTACCGTTTTTCTAACACTCCTAAATGGAGAGAGTTGGCTACTTACCCACTCGGGACAGAGGTAATGCATATATCGATATGGTTACAAACACTTGTTCAAAAAGTTCAAAAGTTGGTTTTCTGTTTGTTTTGCTTTTCTTGGGGTGCGGTGGGGTGGAGTTGGACTTTCATGTGGGCAAAACTTTTCTGTAATGTTTGATGTTGTTCAGATGTCTTTTGTAGTTTCTAAGTCAGATGATTTCTTTTGAGATGTATGAAGGGGGTTACATTTTTAAGAGAGAAAATTAATTACTTGAACATAATAAATGCTCATTACGGAGGACTTCCTTTCAGAGTTTCAGCTCTCGGAGGCTGCACGTTAAAGAAACGTTCAGGTGGCTGTCTCAGGTAGGGATGCAGCCTCCAGTGGCACTAGGCAACTTGCTTGAGCTGGTCACGAAGATGATAATGAGTAGCTAACCGTTATAAAGTTCCTGCTACATGCCAGTCTGGGGTCTAAGTGTTTCCTTTATGTCCATTTAGTGTTCAGAACTGGCACTACTATAATTTTTATTTTATAGCCGAGGGAACAGAGCACTAGGAGGTGAAAGAAGTTGCCTAAGGTCACATATCCTGTGAGTAGTGGAACCTGGATTTGAACCCAGGCAGGTTGGCACCAAATCAGGCTCTAAGGCCACCAAAACTTTCTGTATACATCAGGAGTGTGTTTTATGTTTTGCTTGAGGATGGAGTGTACTTTGGCTGTGGTTTCCACTTCACCAATTATATCAAGAGTCTTGTGTGGAAAGCGGGGTTAACTGGCACCATCTTTCTGATTTATTCTCATGATCTTTCAGCTTCCCTCATAGATGGGTAGCTGGGACAGCTGCCCAGTTCTTCTGCCCCTAAATCCAGCTCTGCTGGGCATCCAAGTGTCCCCAGTCACGGCCTGTCAGAGAGGAAACATCAGACAGGATCTCTCAGTAACGGAGCCAAGAAAAGCTGCATCCTGCTGTTCCATGGGCTTTGAGTTCCTGCACACACTCTGCCTCCTGATTCGCGGAAAGAGAAAACCACATTTGAATCTTTAGGCATCCTCTGTAAATACCAGTTCCCTCCCAATCAGGAAGAGATTACTGCAGTAACCAAAGCCCCTCGTACTCCCTCCCGACTCCAGAGGTGAAGGTGTTCACTAATTACCTTCATCTGCAAAGACCATGTCTCTCTAAGCAGTGTGCCCTCAGCAGGACTTTTTAAAAACCTGCTGCAGGTTAAAAAGCAGACCTGCTCTTAATTTATTAAAAGACTTGGCATTTTTTTCCCCACTGAGCATTTTAAAATGCAATTAGACCAAATGGAATAATAATCAGGCAAAAGTACTCAGGAGTTTTCATGCTGGGGGCCACCCCTTCTGATGCTCGTTTCCGTTTCTGGGTTTTATGTTGGGACAATATGCCCATGGAGCATGGGGATGGCTCGAGGGATGCATTCATGGCATCCCTCCCTCACCCCATCCTCATGTTCCTGCAGCCCCCCGGGCTCTCTGGAATCAACCTCTGGATCTCCACCCCACCCTTTCTGGATGCCAGGGGCTCCTCATCCTCACAGTTCTGCAGTGTGCATGGGTCAGTCTCCTGGTTTGGGACACAGAATCACATTTTCCTCCAGACCAGGCCTGGGACATCTGCATTTTTAAACAAGTTCCCTAGGGAATTGTGATGCCCAGAAGCATCTGAGAGCCACTCTGAACTCCAGGAAGGAGGTTCATATCTACCATTTGCTTCCTTGTATACCGAGCCCTGACACAGTCTGGAACACAGAAGCACTCGATGAATATTTATTGCATGAATGAATGGAATTTCATGAGACCTATTAGGGCTTTTTTAATGGAAGAAAAAAAGGAAGTACAGTCCCACCTCACTCATCAAGGATAGGTATGAGGAAATGGAAAGTAAGGATGTGTCAGGAACCTTCTAGTTTTAATTAACACATTCAAGTATATACATGGTGTGCAGGAATTTTGTGGTGTACGTGACATACACCATGGGAGTACCCATGTGTTCCATGAATAGAAAACTCATACCCATTATTACCTTATAACCACTGGCATGAGCAGAATAGAAAAACAAATGGCAAACTTAGCTGGAAAAGGGCAAGATGCTGCCTGTAATGCTGGTATCTATGCCATAAACTGAAGAGGTGAAGGTATGTGGTTCAGTGATATTTATTTAAACATCTTTGGGTTGTATCACCTGATACATTCCATCTCATCTCCCCTCCTATCTCATCTCCACCCCTCATGTCATCTTCCCCACCCATCTCCAGTCTGGATCAGGTGCCCCTTCATGTGCCCAAAGAGCAGTTGCTGTGCACAGCTGAACATGCTGTCTTATTAAAATATGCCAGTGTGCCCTTTTGTGCTGGGAGGGCCTGGGCTACAGGGTCTGTGCTTCATTTGCCTTTATGTCTCCAGGGCCTCACTTGGGGCCCTCTCACACCTAGTGGGCTCTCTATAAATCTTTGTCGAATCCATCCATCCATCAATCAACGTGGATTTCATTAATTAAAACTGTTTTCATTGGACTGGGATTCGTTGACAGAACAGCAAGTTCAGAGAGCATTGTGAGCCTCAGAAGGGAAGCTATTCCCAGCTTCTAACTGTCCTATTCCCTTACCCGGCCCAGTCCTCCTCCTATGATTTAATGGGCAACTAATCAAATGAAGCCTTGTTCTCTAAAAAGAAACCAGCCAGTTTGAAAAGGCTTGCAGTGAATTCCTTATCCAATCAGGGCACTTCACGCTGAGAGGAAGAAACCAGATTTGGGTATTGGCCAGACTACATTTCCATTCAAATTCTCCTTCTCCTCCTTTCACTCCTTCCTTACTTCTTACCTTCCTGCTTTCCTTCCTGACCTCCCTTCTTCCATCTCCCTGCCCTTCCTTTTGTCCAGATTACTGCCCTCTACACAGGCACTGCGTCTGAAGCACGGTAACATTCTCTATCATGTGTAACAGGCACCATATCAATTGCTCCAAGTTCAGCTTCTGAAAAATTAAAAGGGAAATTGTCACCCAGGCATTTGTTTGCATTTCATACCTCCTGGCATTTCCCAGGCCCACCACTGTTCTCCCGGGAGGCCCACCAATTTACTCTCCCTGGTCTATGAGAAAAGTCTTGGACATTCGGGCATGCAAGTCAGACTCTCCTCCAGCTACATAAACATTGAGATGTCCATGTAGTGCTTATTTAGCCACAAACAAGGCCAGCTTCCTACTGGACTCCTCCAGGCCCTGCTCATGCATACCTGTAGCTCCACGTCCCTGCTAGGGTGTGTGTCTTCAACATCTCTAAGCCAGGGTCTTGGCACTCAGTCGGCTGACAATTTTAACATACCTGGGAGAAGAGAGGTCATAGGTTTGACCTTCTGGCTTTATATTTCCAAGGAGGAGAAATTGGCTGGACTCTCTTTTGTGGTGAGTACTCATATATTTGTCACTTGACAAACACTCACTGACCACTGCCATGTTTGTGCAGTGCAGAGGCAGGGTGCAGACTCTGTTGGCAGGTTGCCCAGCTTCATGCCCAGGAACAAAGTCTGTGCATATTTGGTCATCCCATGCAATGGGAAGACGCAGCTCTCACTAGGAAGGCCACAAACTTGAATATCTAATCACACGAACATTTGAGGCCAGAGCATGGTTCAGACACTCTCTTACGGTGACCTTGTAGTCCCATGGAGTCAGCTTTGGATGGGTGCCTGGGATCCTCCTTTCCTTCTGGCTTTTTTCTCTCTTATTTTTTCCTGGTTCTCTGCTCAACCCCAGGCCGGATCCCCATATGGTCAAAGCCATGAAGGCTGCTCTCTGGTGGATCCTCACAGTGGGAGAACTTTATCATTCCCCACAGTAGGAGGCAGAGGCCCTTCCTCCAAAGGGTGCATCATGAGACACACCTCACCTCTTGCTGGGAGTTTACCTTGCACTGTACCATAACTTTGGTGCCTCGATGTGCCTGAGGGCCTCCCTTCTCCGCTAGGGATGAGGCAGAGAATGGACATGGAGGATGGATGGGGAGATCAGGGGAGGGCTGCCAGGCAAAATATAGGAATGTTTTATCCCATGCAGTATTTGAGACATACACTGAAACATTATTCGTCATTCATCTGAAATTCAAATGAAACTGGGTATCCTGTGTATTTTTATTTGCTTAATCTGGCAACTCTGCTAGGAAGCACGTCGCTACTTTAGGAAGATCACTCCTTACTTCCTGCCACCACCAAAAACGCTGATTCAGCTGGCTGGGGCTAAGTCAGCAGTGTTCAAAAGAGGAAACACTCCTTTGAAAAATGACTTTTATTTGGGACTTCCATTTGGTTGAGTCATTGTTATCCAGGCAAACCCATGGCAGAAGGAATGACTCAGCCTCCCATTTCTCCACCCATTCCTATGGCCTCAGAAAAATTCTCATTTTATGATGAGATGGGACCACTTTTCCCTTCCCCGGTGGATTAGAGCTTTCTGTGTCTATTTTCCTAGGATCACCATAACAAAATACATCAAAGTAGGTTGTTTAAACAACAGAAATTTATGGTTTCCCAGTTCTGGAGGCGAGAAGTCTGAGGTCAAGGTATGGGTAGAGTTGGTGCCTTCCGAGTCCTGTGAGGGGGCATCTTTTCCAGGCCTTCCCTCAGCGTCAAGAGGTTTGCTGGCAATTTTTGGCGTCCCTTAACTTACAGAAGCACCTTCACACAGCGCTCTTCCTGCATGTGGCTCTCCCTGCATGTGGCTCTCCCTGTATGTGTTTCTGTGTTCAAGTTCTCATTTTTTTTTTTTTTTTGAGGCTGAGTTTCACTGAGTCACCCAGGCTGGAGTGCAGTGGTGTGATCTTGGCTCACTGCAACCTCCACCTCCTGGGTTCAAGCCATCCCCCCACTTCAGCCTCCTGAGTAGCTGGGATTACAGGTGCCCACCACCATGCCCAGATAATTTGTATTTTTAGTAGAGATGGGGTTTTACCATATTGCCCAGGCTGGTCTCCAACTCCTGGCCTCAGGTGATCAGCCCGCCTTGGCCTCCCAAAGTGCTGGGATTCTAGGCATGAACCACCGCACCCAGCCCAAGTTCTCCTTCTTATAAGGACACCAGTCACATTCGATAAGGGCCCACCTTAAGGACTTTATTTTAACGTGATTACCTCTGTTAAGGTCCTATCTTTAAATAAGGTCATATTCTGAGGTACTGGGGGTTAGAACTTCAACATAGCTTTCTTTCCGGGGGTGGCGGGTTGAGGGATAAATTTCAACCCCTAATACAGGCGCCTCAATGTCGTGCACATTTATATTTGCTGGGAAGATAAGGAGACATTGGAGTCAGTGGTTTGGTTTCTTTTGCTGGCTTAGGGTTAATAATGATTTAAGGCTTTGGAGTAATGGAAGATAAACTGCTTGTCACTGCCTACTCTGTGTTGCAGAAGATTGCATTTCCGTGTGAGGCTGGCCCCAGCCTGGCTCTGCAGAGGGCTTTTCCATTACCTTAAGAGCTGGTGGTGATAGCCCCCATTAATATTCAGCCCTTTGGCCTCCACCCTCTTGCATTCCCTCAGCCCTAAGCACTTCCCTCTGACCCTCCAAGAGGTAACATCGGGGTTATTGTCCCCAAGAGACTTCTGCAATTACTTGCAGGGGGAACCCGGTGAGGCTTTGCTGAGAGTGTATGCCAGGAGGGGCGTGGGTGGAGAAAGGGAGCTCGGCATGCAGATCTTCGCCCTCCCCCGTCCAACCCAATATTAGAATCAAGGGGAACCGTGATGTCTGTCTTTGCCTCTGCTTGCTTCCCTCCTCCGTGTGGATGCTGGGAGAACAAGATTAAATTCCTTGTCGGCTCGGGCTCTAAATTCTCATTTGTTTATTAAGAAATGATTCTGTTTTCTCCGAGGAGCCATCCATCCTGCTCTTCTGGGCGCTGTCCATTACTAAAGAAATGAAAGGGAGAAAGGTCCTTTTTTTGGCCATGGGTTTTTTGTTTGTTTTTGGGGTGTGTGTGTGTGTGTGTGTGTGTGTGTGTGTGTCTTTCAGATGTCTGTATCACCAGAGAGAATGCTTTCTGAAGCCTGTCCAGGAAATTTGGTTCTAAGAACAGCCTGCTAATTTGAGCATCTTCAGGGGTGACTCGTGCGATGAGGCTGGCATGCTGTCCACAGACAGTGGCACCATGGCGGTGGGAAGTGCGGTCTGCACTCATCTGCCAGGGCTGCCATGACAAAGGACCACAGGCTGGGCCGCTTACGCAACAGAAATGTATTTTCTCACAGTTCTGGAGGCTAGAAGTCCAAGATCAAGTTGTCCGCAGATTGATTTGTTCTAAGTCTCTCTCCTGGGCTTGCAGATGGCCAAGTTTCTCTGTCTGTCCTCCCATGGTCTTCCCACTGCACACCAACGTGTGTCCCAATTTCCTCTTATAAGGACACCAGTTGTATTGGATGAGGATCCCCTGAGTAAACTATTTAACCTGTATTAGCTCAATAAAGACCATGTCTCCAAATACTGTCCCATCCTGAGGTCTGAGAGGGTTAGGAATGAACCTAGGGAGAGGCACAATTTAGCTCACAGCTGTGCTCCTGTAGGGGACTCAATAGGAACTCAAGTCTCAGGCTGGACCTTGATCTGGGTAAGTGACCTTGGGGAATGGCAAGGGTATCAGTTGGGGTTTTCTGTTGTCGGCAACAGAAAACAATCCAGGCTCACTGGAGCAATGAGAGAATTGAGTGAGATGATCTGGAGAGACAGGCATGCCATGGAAGGCTGGACAACAGACAGTAACCCTGGCACCTTGGAGAGGGGAAGTGGAAGCCGCAGGAGCTGCCCTTTGGTGGAAACACTCCCGTCAGTGCTTGGTGGCTGAAGCGAGTGAACTCAAGAGTCCCAGAGGACAGCTGTCCTGCCGGGTTCCCCACTGTGCTGGAGTAGGAGGAGGAGGAAGAGTCCAGACCCTTGGCCTCAGTGATGGGAGTCAGGGTACAGGGTTCACATCCTCCCAGGACCACCCAGAGTCCAGGGGTGTGAGCCCTCGAGAGAAAATCAGCAGCTGTCAAAAGAGGAGATGAATGTTGGTAAGCTGAAGCAATGACAGATATCTATCGCATAACATTTCCTTGCTTCAAAAAGAGGGGCTGCATTGGACGACCTCTGTGCTCCATCTTCATTAAACATTTACTAAAGCTCTCCCGTCACTGCTTTCTTGAGTTCTGTGCCTTTCTTTGTCTAGGGGTGTTGAGATGTTTCGCTCAGGGATGTTTTATTGCCTGCGGTGTCTCCCTTGGCCTTTGGTGTTCCCGGGAGTTCTCCTCAGTGAGGCGAGGGACTCTGTTTGCTCAGGAAGGTCACCAGGCTTAGAGTGCTATAAAAAACCAGGGAACAGCTTCCTGGTATAGATCAGTTTATTAATGTCTTCTTTGTGATCTGTACCGGTTGTAAATATTATATTCATTATAAATAATAATTCAACCTGCCATTCCTTCTCTGGTTCTCAGTCACCTTGTCTATAAAACAAGAGGGTTGAATTAAATGATTATTAAGGTCTCTTTCCGCACTGGCCCTGTTGGATTCCATGAAAATTAAACTCCTCTGGGTAGACAGTCTATGGGGCTTGACTGTGAGGCATCACCCAAGAACTTGGAAATGGGAAATAAGATTTCCCTCTGAGAGAAAAATTGTAAAACCAGCCAGCACCAGATCAAAGAAGATCTATTTAAAGTCTCCTTATATGGACAGGATGAATTTCAGACCAGAGCAGCCTGGACTGACAGCAGGAACATCCTGAGGGACAGAAGGGCCTGTCAGAATGGATGCAGCATCACAGACACAGAGAGAAATGAGACCGAGGAGGATCGTCAGGATGATTCAAGCTCTGACTGAGACAACGCTGGGGTGATGGGTATCCACACATTAGTAGGCTCTGGGCCTCTCCTGGCTGCATTTCTGTTATGGAGAAGGCGAGGGGCATCCAGCTATCATGACTGGGTGCCCTAAAGCGGGGATGAGAGTCAAAGTCTTTAACAATCCATATAGCACAGGCACCACCCAAACAGCAAGGTCTTCAGCTACAGCTGGAGCAGTGACCTGGGGCCCCCATTCTGCCTGCCTTTACCTTCTAGCGTCTGGGAGCTCTGTGAGGTCCCTGATATGAGAAGGGCAGTCAGTAGGAGCAGACAGGAGGCTCCAGGAAGAGGCTCCTTACCAATTAGCTCAGAAGAATTTTAATATGTTGATAACTTAACATGTTTGAGCTATTCAGTTCTTCCCCTTTGTCTCATTCTAACTCACTGGGAAATCCCTGGATTGGAATGCAGTTTCCCATCTGCTTTGACCTACAGGGAAAAAACAGGCATGACCGGCTTACATAATTGTGAGATGACTATATTTTTCAAGGTAAACAGAGTTTCTGCTTTATCACTCTCTTAGGAGCCTGGTTACACTGATCAATGTGAATTCACCCCTATGAGAGAAATCCACTCTTGGCTTGCTGACAAAGTCAATTGCCTCAATTACAAAAAAAAAAAAAAAAAAAAAAAAGATTCCCAAACTTGCCCCATGGAAGCAAGCCAGCCAAGCTTGGAAGCAGCCAGCCAAGCCCTTTTTCAAACTTAGAATCAGTGATCCAAGGGTCCTTTCAGTATTTTTCCACAGGATCTCTGGCTGAATTTCCACAGCATGTGAAAATTCAACTATAGACAAGACAGCATGATGCAGCGATTTTCTTTTTTTTTTTCTTCTTCTCTCTCTCTCCTTTTTTTTTTTTTTTTGCACATTTTATTTTAGTAGCACAACTCTTATTTTCAAATGATCTTATGAAGGACCCCAAGCTGTAGATATGATGTCTTCACATCAGGCATCTCTACTTGGGTGTCTGACAGGCACCTCAAATATAAGATGTCCAAAGAGCATTCTGGATGCCCTGCCCCCGCTGCACCTGCTCCTCCCCAATGTGCCCTCATCTCTCAGGCCTGACACCTAAAATAATTCTATTCTCAGGTCATCTCTTAGCCTCAAACTCCTGCTTCCAGCTACAAAACATATGTAGAATCCCATCCCTTTCAAGCTAGGTCCCACATAGCTGAAACCTTGTTTTCAGCCACCATCCCCTCTTACCTGGATGACTGCAACAAACTTGTAATAGGTCTTCCCACTTTCATTACTGCTTCCTATACTTCCCTGAATTGGAATGCAGTTTCCCATACGTTTCTACCTATAGGGAAAGAACAGGCATGGCTGGCTTACGTAATTGTCAGATGGAGCAACATTTGCTCCATTTAAAATTGTTTTTAGAAGTCTAGACTTTAGAATCTCCACTTGTTAATGATAATATAACAATGACCAATTACTACCATTTTAAACGTATTATTTCACTAAATAGAGAAATAATACGTTTAAAATGTAGATCAGATGGTGATTTTCCCCTGTTCAAAGTGCTCCAACATCTCCCATCACACTTAGAGTAAACTGCAAACTCCTTACCATGGTCTACCAGGCTCTCCGCCATCTGGTTTCCTGGTACCCCATTGGCTGAACCGCCAGCTGCTCTCTCCTTCACTCTTGTGGCTCCAGACACACTGGACTTATTGTTGGTTCTCAAATGTGCCAAGCTTGTTCTCCACTTTGCATTTGCTGTTTCCTCTGCTTAGAACCTCTGGTGCCCTTGACTTTGAATGGCTTACTTCCTCACACCAATCAAGTCTTTGCAAGTCTCTGCCTTTGCCCAGAGAGGCCTTCCCTCGCCACCTCTTTAAAACAGCCTGCCTCACTCCTACTCTCGAGCTCCTCAGTCAGCCACCGCCCAGCACACACCACATTTCATAGTGGATGTTGTTATGTGCCGCTCAGATCCCCTGGCAGGACCGAGAAATGCTCATCGCCTTAGCTGCTGGGGGTGCAGACACCACCAGCTCACACCTGAGACACTTTCCAAGCGTTGGAAAGTGTCAGAGGTGTGTCATTTCCTCTGTCAGAGGAAGCTGCTCCACCAACACGTACGCCCACTTCCTGGAGGCAGCTTGCGGCCAAAGACTGGTCACGTGGTAGTGCAAATGCCCAGTCCTCCGATCTCAGTTAGGACAACACTGCTTGTTGTCCCAAGCTGCAAAGTTCCTCAGGAGGAAGACAGAAAGCAGCTTTTCCGTCTGTCCGTCCTGCGTCCCTCATCCTTCACACATGTTGCTCCTGAGGTCACGCCCCCAAAAACCTCCTGCAAATCTCTTTGTCAGAGTCTACTTCTTGCAGAACCTGTCCTGTGGGCCTCTACCCCAAATTATGGGGTTTTCACTTACTTGTTTACACTTACTTGTTTACTTCCTGTCTCCCCAGCTAAGACTTAAGTTCTGTGACAGCAAGGAAAGGTCTATCTTATTCCCCTGTCTATCCTGGCCCAGATGCCTAGACGGTGCCTGGAGAACGTGGAAGTTCAATAAATATTGAATGAAGAAATGAATGCACCCCCCCATCTATATAATAGATAACAGGGAAACTGTCTTCCTGAAATTGTGTGTGTGTCAGGGGCCCTCCTCCCTCTGTCACTCCTCTACCCACCACTGGAGAAGTACCCAGGGCACCTCAGCAGCACCTTCAGACAGAGTCGATTTTAGAATCAGGAAAGCAAGATTCATAGCCAGTTTCCATCACTAGCAAGCCCTCCCCAGTACCTCCTGGAGTCAGCATTGGGCCTTGCAGGGTCTTTAGCTTGTTCCACTGCGACAATGAGCCCCACACTCTGCTCTGCTCCTGGAAAAGAAGCTGGGAGAATGGAAAAGCTAATCGAATTGGCTCATTTCCCTGAAGCCAGTGATAAATCTCAGGGGTCTGAAGAAGGCTCTGGGGGATCTAGTGCCCCCAGTGAGATCTGGGGTGGGGAAATTGACCTCAGACTCTGAATCTCAAATCAAGAGTGGTTCATTTTTACTACAGAGCCCAGAAGGGAGACTGCTTGGGACCTGCCCTGGGATGACTTCTGCTGGCCCTGGGGAGCCAACTTTTATTCCAGTAGAATGTCCAGGAAGCCATGCACCCTGGTGACAACTCACTTTCTCCTATGCCGTTAGAGTAAGTCTCCTTGATTTCCAGGATTGGAATTCCCTGGAATGTTCAATGTGCCATCATTACCAGGATATAAAGAATGTTTCTGGGTCAAGAAGGTGCCAGAGATGGTTTAATGCACATCTTCATTACCTAATTGTTTTCTTCTGGTCTATTCCCCAATTGCTTCCACGTCTGATGAATATTTCTCTGCTTTCATATGTGTTTTTGACAGAGACGGGGGAGCAAGGCTATCTGTAGGCTTTAGATCTCCTGACTTCTCTTTTGAGCATGATGAGTTGGAGTTAGATAATGCAGGGAGAGCTTGCTCTGGAACCCGGGAGGGAAGTGTGGCTGGGAATGCCCGCAGATGGGTGATGCCCCTCTGTCCTCAAACTGTGTTAGACGAGCTCTGCTCTCACCTGCCCCTACAGGAGAGGCAATCCATTAGATACCTTGCATCTGGGGTAGACTGAGCCAGCACCAGCTGTGAGAGTGGCTGCAGCTTGGATTTCACTTCCTCCAGAAGGCAGCCAGGACAAATGCTGCTGCTCATTCTCCAGGAGGAGGTTCCAGGATGATCCAGCCATTGTTCCTCCTCCGTAGCACAAAGGGAAGGTTACCCAGAACGGACCCAGCAAATGCCTTAACAGCCTTCAAGACAGTCTGGACACATCCACAGTGGTTGTTGGACAGCTCATTACACACTCTCTGAGGAGACTGGTCTCGGGTCCCTAAGCAGGTTGATGTTGGCAGTGGCCGGGGAGGCAGGAACACGCATGAAGGACACAGAGGTGAGAGGGGACTGAGCTGGATGGAGTGCATCTAAGGCCTGGGGCCAGTCAGAGAAGACGCATCTGCTCCTCAGCACCACTGAGGCCACACAGCCAGCCTTGTGAGGAGATGCCTCTGAGGACCTTCGAGCCACACATCACTGGCTTGAGTATAAGAAGTGCTGGAGCACCTGTGATAGAAATTGGCGAGCAAACATCCTCCTAGAAAGACAGGTAATGCCTCATCTCTACCAAGGCTAAATTGTTTTTATAACATTCTCATCATTATTCTAAAGAATAAAACCATTACTAGTACACAACGTCCTCATCAGGGTATGAGACAGGCCCCAGGCTCTATTCTTGGCCCTGGCACTTATTTGGTTGAGTGACTTAGTAATCTAGGCAAGAGCTGCCTCAACCTTTTTTTTTTTTAGTTCATTTTTTTTTTTTCGGCCAGGCACAGTGGCTCACACCTGTAATCCCAACATTTTGGAGGCCACAGTGGGAGAGTTGCTTAAGGCCAGTAGTTGAAGACTAGCCTAGGCAGCAAAGTGAAACCCCATCTTTAAAAAAAAAATAGCCAGGCATGGTGGTGCACCTGTATACCCAGGTAATTGGGAGGCTGAGGTGTGAGGATCACTTAAGCCCAGGAGGTGGAGGCTGCAATGTGCTAGGATGACACCTCTGCACTCCAGCCTGGGCAACAGAGTGAGACCCTGTCGCAAAAACAAAATTTTGTTTAAATGTCTAGGCTTTAGAATCTCCATTTGTTAATAATAATATAACAATGACCAATTACTGCCTTTACTCTTGAATGGCCACTGTGGGTCCGGCACTGTCCCAGGAGCTGGAGGAATAGTGGTAAGCAAGCTGACAGCCATGTACTTTTCCTGGAGCTCATATCCACGGATCATCAGACAAGCAATACTTCCCCCATTTTAAAGCTGAGGCCATTAAGGTTTAGAGCCCTGAAGTGATGGCATGTGAAGCACTTCCCCATGGGTGCCTGCTATTGGGTCATTGTTGGTGTTAACCTATCCTTCGGTGTTCCGCTTTGTTATGCTGGGACTGGGACTCTAAACCAATTTTTTTCTAGCCTTTGCCAGCTGCTCCTTGGTAGATTATATCAGTAAGGGGTGCTAGGGGAGGCAAGAGAGGAGGAAAAGGGACCTGCTTCCCCCTGGGTGCTTTCAGAGCCTTCCTTCCTTCCTTCCCTTCTTCCTTCCTTCTTTCCTTCCTTCCTTCCTTCCTTCATTCCTTCCTTCCTTCCTTCCTTCCTAGGAAGGAAGGAGGAAGGAAGAAGGGAAGGAAGGAGAAGGAAGAAGGAAGGAAGGAAGGAAGAAAGAAGAAGGAAAGAAAGAAAGAAAGGAAGAAAGAAAGAAAGAAAGAAAGAAAGAAAAGAAGAAGAGAGGGAAAGAAAGAAACGGAAAAAGAAAAAAAGAAAGAAAGGAAGGAAGAAAGAAAGAGAGGGAAAGAAGAAAGAAAAGAAAGAAAGAAAGGAAGGAAGAAAAGGAAGGAAGAGGAAGGACAGAGAAAGAGCAAGAAAGTAGAGAAGAGAGAGGAAAGATACAACGGACGAAAGAAGGAAGGAAAGAAGACAGAAGAGGAAAAGAAAGAAAGAGAGAAGGAGGG